CCGATTCACTGTCACCTTCAGCTCCGGTGTCCATTGCTTCATCAGTCACGTCGACAGCCTGACAGGCTTTCTTCGGTGTAGCAGGGGATACGCGCTGCAATGATGAGCGCCTCTCCTCATCCAGTTTTTTAAACCTTCGAAGGGCGTTAACTACCCCAGTTGCCTTGGTCTTTATCTCTTTATGGATATTGACCTTTGGTTAGACGAAATCATTCAACTCACTGATCAGCTTTTCAAGGCGTTCCAGCGCTTGCGTCCACTTCATCTCAGCGCTTGCTGTAATCGATGCTTCTTGGGCGTGGGGCCCACTAATAATCCTGTCCTCTTCTTGATTTTTCATTTCTTCCATGATCTTAATTGATACTCCAAAGCAAAAGGTCGCCTCCGAACGCGATGCCTTCAGAAGTGGAGAGGTGATCACTCTTACAACTACCTCCATTGCAATAAGAGCTTTCGGTCATTGAAACGGGAAATCTCAACCGCTTCGACCCTGCACCTGCTTCCTTCATCGGCTTCCTCTTGCTCCCGTGGGTACGGCACGTAGATGCCGGGAGTTACCACGTACACCGCGCTGTAAGGATCATTTCGCACATCTCTTTCGAGCAGCGTCACCATATCCGCTTGCGTACGTGACCCTAGGTCTGATGGTGTGACCAACCCTTCCTGCCGAAAGGGAAGTTTTTGTTTTTTAACTGCGAGAACTATTTTATTCGCTCCTACTCTTTGCTCCAAAGAACAGCGAGCTTTCTCCGACCCACAAGGACACACGGACGGTGGCTGTTACTCTTCAGCTCCGAGTCTTGTTCATTTAGCACTACCCGGAGAGCACGTGTAGGGTGTTAAAGCAGTACCTACGGACGCGAACAACGCTACCCTCGTCTTGTTAGGTCAGTTAGTGTGACCAACCCATAAAAGGGGAGTTTTGTCCACGGGAGCGTATTTTATTTAACTCCTACCCTCTATACCTCATCAACTAGGAGATTATCCAAGTGTCATCCAAGGACAGCGAGCGTTCTCCCATCCGCTCGGGGAGACGCGCCCGGTAGCAGTATCTCTTCTGCCCCCGGTGTGTGTGTGTGTGTGTGTGTGTGTAAGTATGTAAACCTCTTATAACTTTCGAACGGTTGAACCGATTTCATCGCGGTTGGTGCCATTCGAAAGGGCTTGCCCAAACTTAGATTTCCTGAAAATTTGAACCAATT